AAAATAGGAAATTAAGACGCATATGCCGCTAACCATAAGTATCAAGTATCCATCGAGGCAGATTAACAAGCTGAACAGCGATACCTGTCCAAATACAAGTAAATTGAACACCTCTTCGAGTTTTCTACAGAATTCAATCAACGCTTGATGCTGCTGAACGTGAGCTTTAAACTTTTCATACTTGCACGCACTGTATACTACGTATGATTTTTCCGAATGTTCGTGGAATTTTTCGTGATCAATTGTGTTGCACATATTTGCAAACCTATGTTGCAAAATACGAAACTGAGCAGCAGTGTGTAGATTTAGAATGCATAACATGTTGTCGAAGCAATGGTAGCACACGCCAACGAGATATCCACATACGACCTGTAGATGCATGTAAGATAATTAAACGTTGGATAAAAAAATCTGCTAATGTTGTAAATAAAATAATTGCCAAACCTGTAGTAAGAACAACATTTCGAAATACGGTGTGAAGGATGTACGATAATCAGGCAACCGCATGTTAAATGGTAGTATCCTCTCTGATTCATTCTTTCCGTGGTTTTCTACAAAAGATTTTCTACAGGATCGAAGATTTTTCTGATTTTCTGACTTTGGGCAAGCGTATTAATAAATGTCGGTACAGTTTGTATTAATATCTGCAGTGTATAATATATTGTATTAATATAGCAGTGTATATTGACATCTGTAGAATTCAACATATTGTGGCCAAAATTTTTCATTAATACGTCCGAAACTAATGAAAACCCGCAGCTAAGATGTTACATTCTGAGTCCCCTCCCCCCCCCCCATTATACTTCGTAACTTCGTATCATTCTGATGAATGGTATTAGAGCTCTAATTTCCAACTGTAGATTATGCTCGTACAATTTTGTCGAAGTAGGTCACCTATACATAATTTTTTTGTAAAATCAAACCATTATTTTTATCGAAGAATGCTGGCAGTCGAAAAGTTAATCTTTATAACCTAGATGCAATTGTAACTTATGATCGCAATAAGGATGAAATAACTTCAGCACTTAATTGCTTAACTATACTTATTCGTATTCCATTATTAATGTGTTGTGTTAAAAGCGTGCTAATATTGTCAAAATTAATAACAAATCTCAGCTTTAAATCTCTCTCGTACATACACATTGATGAAAAAAAAAAATTATTTTATCTTATAATAATTACTTTGTGCTTAAATATCTTACCCATAAGTGGTCTTATTATATAAGTAGTAACTGTTCCCTCAGCAAAGAAACTAAAAATGCAAACGAAGGTGATGCAAGTACGTTTACATCTGTCCATAATCATTTGCTCGTACGAGTCGTAATCCGTGTGCCAAAAATTCCTTTTCGCGTAATGTATTACGTCATGCAGCTCGTCGTAATATATTAACAAGACGAAGATTTTCGTTAGAACCAAAATGATAGTTACAACGTTGCACATAATATAAATAGTTTCCTGTAATTGGAATGTCATTCTTTGCATAACAGTTGTTTTGTATAGAATTTTGCCAAATTCTCGACTGTTAAATGTCAAATTATATTCTTCACTCACGCCAAAATCTCCCCAGGTGTAATACAAGTCCCTCATTTCGGTCGATAGAGCGAGAAGAATGGCAAAGAATGTATAAAACAAAGCAAAGTTCATCCAGAGTCTCTCAGCATGATTGTTAGCTATCCAAAATCCAACAAATTTCAAATGAAAACTGGTGATGATGATAGAGAAATCTTTGACTTCTTTGGAGCTCATTCTGTGTCTGCGACGTGTCTCGGACGTTTCGAACTTCAATTGTACCACGAGGTTCTATTTTACTTGTCACCCAAAGGTTTCGATTCCTTGAGCTGTCGCTGTCTGGCTTGTTTCGCGTATTTTACTGCATAGACAACTAGTTATTTTGTACGTCATTGTAATTGCTGTTCTCTGTATGAAAAGGGGAAAAAAGTGTCAGATTTATAAATTATAAATTATTCTAGGGAAACGGTAAATGTTCAACGATGATGCGGCAGTCCAATATATGTATTTGTTGCTTGGATGTCGTTGAAGAACGTTGTGCACTTCGAATTGGACCACAGTTGCTGCTCTTGGAGAAAATGGTGGAATTTATAAATTTCACTTGCAAATTGTTTCGTATGTATACTTTCATGTCCTTTTCGTGTTGTATGCATAACTGTATTTCACGCGGTATGTTAAATCGCAGATAATCATTTCATCGACACCGATATTCACTAGTATTCCAATTTTTATCATTTAGTTTGTTAACGTACGCCTGATCTCTACACTTGCTAGCAGCAGAAATCCAATTGCATGTTTGTAACATTATCTTGTCTTTTCTTCGCGAACAGAAATAATTGAAAAGTATTTCCCACTTTTTCTATTTTGTATCTATTCATTGTGCCATTATACAGCGATTACGTTCGAAAATGATGATTTTTGTTCCTTTTTTGGTCCAGTATCATTCGTCAGAATGAAACGAAATTTTGAAAGTTCGGAGAAGAGGGAAAGAGGACTCTGTGTGTAAAATTTCAGCATTATTAATTTCTGAAATATAAATTTATTACCGAGTACTGTACCCTTCTTTTTTATTCACTCCGATCATGTATAAAATTTAAAATTTGTTTAAATTTTTTAACGAGTTATATTTTTTGTTTCGGTTGAAGTCTGGAAGAAATGTTAGGGGAAGAAAATGGAAGATTCAGAGTGGACTATTGTAATGCAGAATAATGCATTTTGTAGTATTTTTCAAAATGTGCGTAGTATTTTTTCGTTGTTCTAAAAAGAAAAATTGAAAAAATATTCGAGTAGAATATGGTCGAAGGACGATTAGTTTCTTTATCTTTATTGATTTATTATCTTTAAAGATATTTTGATCTTAATTTTGTGATCGCTTGGATTGATTGTGAGGATTGACGAGAAGATAAGAGTTAAAAATGTAATTAAATTCCGTTTGTGTAAACTTGTTTGGGGGTGGGGAACGTGAGTAGGGTGTAAATTATAGAGAATTCATATAACATTCATATAACCATTATATATGATTGTGATATTCATTCTTATCATTGTCTGGGATTTTTTACATTTAAATACAAGTAGATGCAACTGCTAATATAGTCGAATACTGTGTAAAATTTTGTCCGAACAAATATGTATGCTGGTCATTTAAATCACTGTTATATTAGAATCGTCTGAATATTGTTATTTAAATAACAGAACAAATTATGTCGGTTTTTGAAAAATAACAATTGCTTATGATTGTAAATCTCGTGTCTCTCTGTAAGCTTCGTGTCACGTCGAATCATTATAAATTATTGTCCTCTTCTGAAACCAAATATTAATTTATAATATAATTTTTGACATAATTGAATACAATTTAGGATTTTTTTGTTCATAGTAAAAATCGATAGAAATAATTAAATTGTACTGTAAATTGCAGAGATGTGAAAGATGTACCTCTTCATCAACGTTAGCAACACAGTGTAATGTCACAATCGTATTATTGCTAAGAGATTGTAGCCAGATTAATAGAGATTTTTACCACGTAAATATAGATTTTAAAACCGTACGGATTAGGTATGGTAATGAATTTTTATTAGATGATTGGAATTGGTAAATTTTCTCTTCATAGGACCAAGCCGAGTGTCCAGTCTTCAGGAATTCAACGAAAAAAATATCCTACTTGTATTTCTGATCTACGAATTTGATCTACAAACGTTGTAATTTTAATCAATATAGGATTGTCTCATTAATGTAAAGTACGACATCGCGGTACTAAGCACCTGTAACGAAAACATTTCATATCGTACGATTCCATCTTGTGCGTCCTTTCTTGCAAGAATATGCATAGGGTATCAAAGTTTAAGGAAAATAATACATAGTTTAAGGAAAATAATACATAAGGAAAGTGAGAAAATGAATAAAGTAGGAACCTTGGTATAAGTTTCCAGAGAAACAGGAAAGAATCCGCTGGCAGTTAAACAACAAGGCTTTCTCGACCTCATGATCATCATTCTTAGATCCTTTCGTAACATTTTGCCGACCCTGTCCATTGGTAGATGTATCCAGGGCCCAGAATATATAGCTGTTCCAACGTTCGTGCTCTCCTCTATCAGAGCATCGCAGCTATACGTGAACAACAATAGTTGGCTCAAACTGCCCGTTATGTGAAACACGAAAATCATTCGCCTCGTAGAGGATGAATTTGCCTGCATGTATATTGAATGATTTAAGAAAGACGTCGTCAATGATAGATAGATAGATAGATAGAAAATAATTTAATATCAGTTGTTAGTTAGTCATATTGTGTTTGAAAAGGAAACTATATATATTATAATAAAGAAGAAAACTCACCATAAGTACCTGAAAACCAACTAGACACATTAGTAAACTGAAGACCAGCACGTGCCCAAGCACAATATTTGTGAATATATAGTTCAGTTTTTGACAATAGTTAATTCGATTCTTATGCTCTTCAATACACTGCTTAAACACTGCGTAACAATTTTTGAAATAATTCTTGTTAGATTGCTGTTTGCCCGATTGACCCAAGTTTGTTAATCGATATTGTAATATACGAAACTGAGTGGCCGCGTGCAGATTCATTAGACACAAAAGGTTGTCGAAGCAAACGTAAGATATAGTAATGTGGCACAAAGAGAAAACCTGTATAAGTAACATAAGATCACTTGAAATAAACGAACTTGTTGTACTGAATTAATTCTAGAATTACTAGACGAAATGTCCAAACTACGATTCGTCACAGTAATTTTATTGATTTGTAGCGGTGTATTTTCAGAGGTGTGAATAACTTTTCGTTAATTAACGTGTTAAGCAAAAATAATGTTTTTCACTGTATTGAAAGACATTTCTATTTTGTGTAATTTCATTTCTCTACTATGATCTTTAATGAGCTTTTCTTATTAATTTATTTTAGGAGAGAATAATAATGCAAAACTCGAATAAATTTGATTTTGCATTAATATTATTGTTATTTTTTTCTGATCAAATGTTTGTTTGCTTGTTTCACAGAAAGATCATAGAGATATGCATTTATGTATGTACCTGAAGTGTGAATACCATTTCAAAGTATGGTGGTTCAGTTAGCGGTAGATCAAGCCACACTCTAAATGGAAAAACTCTCTCTGAATAATTCTTTCCAATATTTTCTAGAATATAAACAACGTTCCTATACTTTAAATTTAGAATACGTATTTCATTGCATACATACATAGTAAATTTAGTATTAAATTTCAAAAAAAAGCTAATATACTGATGTTCTGTTTCGAGTAACACACTCACCTATAATGGGCGTTAATACGTAGCTGAAAGCCGTGCCTTGTGCACAAAAATTGATTAAAGAGAGGCATACAACCGAAATCTTTCTACAACTTTGTAATAATAATAGCTCATCGTAATTGTAATTCGTATGCCAAAAATTCTCGTGCGTGTATTCGAGCAGTTCGAGTAACTCTTTCCTGTGTATAAATATGATGGACAGTTTCAGCAATACCATAACCATGCATAAAATATTACAAGCCGTGTAGGCACACTCCTGGGAATTAAAAAATCGTGATTGAAATGTTTCCTAAAGACTTTTGATTATTGTTGTGAAAAGCAGATTCCAATCAATATGAAATCTTCAGGGTGAGGGAGAGGAAAGTGTCCCAAATACAAAATTGTAGTTCATATTAATTTTCCGGGAATTTTCAAACAAAATTTTGAGCAAAAAGAATTCAAAATAAAATTGAAGCCATTTCCATGTCTCAGTTTAAAATCACCTTGGTGCGTTTGTTATTTCGAAACAGTTTCTAAATGAGATATCAAGCAACAAAGTATTAAATACAAAGTTGTAGAAGAAGTCGACTACGAATAAATGAATCGATTTCATTGTGTTCAGTGACGCAGTGAAAATCTTAGAAGTCTTTCACATTCATCATGTCGCATTTTTCAAAACTTTGCGATCGTAGAAAAACATTCGTTGCAAATATGATCATTGTCCATCGTACTGATTAGAAAAATGTTTTCATACTCACGTTGAAGTCTGGCCACATGTAGTAAAAGTCCCTGAACTGTAGCCACACGCCAATTAGAATTGCAATCGATGTGTAGATAAAAGTTAGCCGACGCGTACGTTGTTCCTTTGCGTTTTTTGCCAGCCAGAGACCGACGAGTTTCATTAAAGTGGCTGTTGTTAGCAATGCAAAATCTTTGGTGTACGACGATTCGTTTACCAGCCTCGTATACGCAGACGCAGTTCTAATTTCTGTCTCTTTCAACTTCTTTTTCATTTTCTCTCTTTAATAGTATATTTCAAACGTTTGTAGTGTGTTACTTATTCTTCAAGTGTGTTCATTTCTTCCCTTGCTTCTTATTTTCATTTCAATCGAAATGACATGGAAGGACATCGTAATTGTTCAAAGAACGAGAGAACAATCGACATGTGCACTGTGCATTATTAAAAAGATGACACCGACTGAGAAGGAACGAGGGTAACACGGAATACATTTCCACACACGCACACAATATATTAACTGTCTATTGGGGACGAGCACACCCCGATATCAGTATGAATCCACATTGCTGCGACTGGTGACCAAGAGTGGCAATTTTGTGGCAATGAGATAAAGAGTTCATAAATAACTATCTCCCACATAAGAAGGTAAACGCATAACTAATTCATATTTCATTGTACAAATTTCACAGAATAAATTAGTTTATCCAATGAAATTGAATATTTTGAAATTTTTCCAATGCAAACAATTTTTTTCTGTATTGTCTTGATAGCCATTGTACGTTCAATAGAAAAATCATGATTGTCAGTGTAACTATTTCTTATCGGTGTGGATAAAAAAATGCGTTGTTGAAAATTATGTCAATATCAGGCCGAAAGTATGAAAACTAACGTAATAATAATAACGAACAAATAAATAACATTTTGATTTAAAATCAAAATGTCGAGTTTTTTTAAAGAATAATAATTGTAAGATGGACAACACTCATGTTTAAGAAACGTTTATTTGCAACATATCCTAATTAAATAACAAACTCAATATATTATTGTTTATAAATCAGTCTTGCATTTCTCAATTGTACATACGTGAAAATTTCTCTTATTGAGAAATAGAAACTTAGAAACAGATGCACCATTACTTTTCATTTAAGTTCGCAGCAATATTATATAGCTTGGTGCCTTCTAATCGAACAGGTCCTGTTATTTATATTTCCGTTATTAATAAAAAGCATACAAATTATGAATTTGTTGCATTTAAAGATGTATTTCTTAGCAGAGTGAAATAAGACATTGCCATACTGAGAACCTGCAACAATACAATAATCACAATTTTATCTTTTCGCTATCAAGAACAATTAAAAATTTCTCGTCGCAGCAAACAGTAAAAAAAGTGTTAACATCAATCGTAAAAAACTAGCAACTGAATCATTTCTCAGCTAACAATATTAAAAATAAACATTCACGAAGAATCAATCAAATCTCATTTCGAAATTTATTCCATAGAATATTCCTACTAGTAAAACTTATTATTACATTACTATTCTACACAATATAATAAAAATATAAATTTTATCAACATGATAAAAAAGGAATAAAATGAAAAGATATTATTTGTATTATTATGTGTGCAACATTAAAAACAAACATTGTGAATATTATACTTATAATAATATAGATACAAAATACAATTTAAATTTTAAACGTTTTGTGAAATAATATAAATTAGTATTAGTACCATGTCTGACTGTAGAATTATCATTAACAATTATTATAAAATTAAATTTCAGAGATAAAAAGAAAACGCCATAGATTGTAAATTGTACAACTTATGGCATAACAATCGATTTAATAGGGACGGTCTGACGTGAAAACCCATGGTAGAAAAGAAAAATTGTCACGAAGACATAGACATGGAATTAATTACCCCGGTAAATGTTTGGAGAGAAACGGGAAAAAATTTCCCGGCTGTTAAGCAACAAAACTTATGCGATCTCATGATGATAATTATCAAATTTTTTCGTATAATGGTACCAGCTTTGTCCATTGGGAAGATTGCCCATGGTATTGAGAATATTGCATTGCTGATGTTGCCACTTTGTTGCATCAGGTCGTCGCAGCTATACGTGCACATGAACAGTTGACAGAAAACACCACTCAAATTCAGTACCAAACTGACTTTCTTTGAAGGATGTGTATCCGCCTGTGCGCACACGATGTAATTAATATGAAACTAATGAAATAGTATAATAATAAATTATATAATAATATTAAATTGATATAGCATAATATAATAAAAATA